TACAGAGTGACTGCTTAATAGGTATGGGAGAAGAAACTATTCTCAAATGAGATAGCAGTGTTGTTTGCACAACTTCTTGAATATACTAAAAATTATACAGCTATTTTAAAAGTGCTAGTTTTATGAATAAAACATTAAAAAAAACATTTAGGGTATGGATATTTCTTGCATAAAAGAAATAGTCAACAAAATGAAGTAATAGAATATACTACAATGATTCCAAAAACAATGTACAGGGTTTAGAATAGGGTTTTTTTTAATGCTTTTTAAAGTACTTGCAAATAGACTTGATCATATGGAGAGTAAACTTTTAACTAAAACCACAAAAAAGAAAATGCTTTATTCATTTGCACCTACTCAGTATCACAGATTCAGATACCATACAGCAAAATGTGTCAATACAAAGAAAGTAAGACTAGCAATAATTTCAGAGGCACTTTAAACTAAATAGAGCCCCTTTGCTAAGCTTTAAGAGCCAGTTTTCAAGCCAAGGGAGATAACTAGCATCATTATTTTACTAATGTAGCTTTATTCATCACACTTACAAGCAAATACTTTGCTTCCATATAATCAAATACATTCAACTTTTAAAAGATCAAAACCTGTCAATACTAAGAATTTTCTAAAGGATAATAAGCCACTGATTCTAGCAACTCCAAAAAAACGAATTCTATGCAACAGAGTTAGGTACAATCTTCAAACAAGTTTGGTTTGAAAAGCACTATTGTGGAAGGCAATTCTGTTCTTGGCAGCTGATGAGATGAATTTAAAAAGTTTACATCACTACATTAAATAGAACCTTTAAACAAAGGAAACCTTCCTCCCATGAACAAAGGAAAGACATGTGGTGCAAATTCCAAGTTGCCTAACAAAAATACTCCAATTACATCAATTTAACAACAAAAATATATCCTGCACTTGAAAATCCCAAAATTTACCTTTACAAACCAAATGACATGATGACTTGCTGATGTCAGATGGATCTTTGCTCAGAATACCAGAAAAATGTCTATTTATGTTTTGTCTTTTCTTTAAAAGGCATTTGACAGTGTAGACCATATCAAATTATGGCTAACACTGAGAAAAATGGGAATTTCAGAACATATAAGGGTGTTTATGCAAAACCTATACCTAGAAGCTGCAGTCCGGACTAAGGGAACATTGCATGGTTTAAAATCTAAAAGGGTGTGCATCAGATCTATATCTTTTCTCTGTCTATTCAGTCTCTGTGTTGAGCAAATCATTAGAAACCGGACTATATAAAAAGGAATATGACATTAGGGTTTGAGAAAGACTCATTAATATCCTGTGTGATGGAGATGAGACCTTGCCTGCTGAAAGTGAAGATTTGCTGTATATCAAATTCTACAGCTTTCAATCAAGAAAACAACAGCCCTCACCAATAAGCAACATCATGACAGATGGAGAAAAGACTGAAGTTGCGAACAATTTAATCTTATGTGAATCCACAATCAACACTCATGGTACCAGGGGGAAAAAAATAAAAATCAAGTCATGCTATATTGAGAAAATCTGCTGTCAAGTAACTCTCCAAAGTATTAGGAAGCAACAAAGTCAGTTTAAAGACAAAGGCAAACCCCAATTCAAGTCACAGTCTTTACAATTACTTTCTATGCATATAAAACCAGGACAATTACTAAGAATGACAAAAGAATGGAGGCCTTTGACTTCCGGCACTGGAGAAGAGAATCAAGTACCACACAGATTTCCAAAAGCACAAGCAAATGTGTCTTAGTCAAAGTACAACTAGGAAATTCCTTAGAGGCAAGGATGGTGAATATACCTTGGGCATATTGTTAGGAGCAGTCAGTTCTTGGAAAAATACTTGTTTCAAGGTGGCGAGTCAGATAAAGAGGGGAAGAAGCTCAACAAGAGGGAACAACACACTGTAGCAATGTCCTCAAGTATATTAGAAAAGTTCAAGATAGGCACACGGCAAAGTTCAGATCCATTACTCATAGGGTCGCTATTGCTCACAGTGGACTTGGTGGTACCAAACGACAACACGATTTAGGTGTTGTGATTCTTACAGTAAGACCGTACAGAAATTTAAGTGGGCAATTCATCGTCCTTTGTAAGTATCCACTGCTACTTTAGTTTTTGCTGTTCCTTTGGGGTACAATGAACATGCATTCAAATTATGCCAAAAACTTGTCACCTTCTTGAAACCTGCCTTCATCATCAGCATCTCAGAATGGCTTTCTTTTACTTCTAAACACTCCTCGCACTTGCCTGCAGCACTGAACAACATATTTTTTTCTGTACTATAATGAAATATACTACTTTTTCCTCAAAATAGTGGAAGTTTCTGAAGGCTAGGACAGATTCCCCGACATCTTTACTTCTTCATAGTGCTGGGTAAGCATTTTTAATAAATACTTAAAAGAAGTATTTATCTAATCAACTTCTTTACTTCTGCAAAGAGCACTAATACAAGTAGCTAAGTGGCTAGGCAGATGCTCACAAGTCATGAATTCCCATAGACACTAAATAACCAACCAATTTTCATTCTGGAAGAAATCCCAGGGCATGCTATGCAGCTTCATGGGGGGGGGGGGGGGCATTATTCAAATGTTTCTTAGAATTACTCCAGCTATAAGTAAATCTGAGAGAATTAGAGAATTTTAAAATAATTCTAAGTCAAAGAGAAAATCATCCTGTTACTTTTTTTTTTTTTTTTTGCAGGCAAGGTACAGAAAAATAGGAACTTTTTACACCACAATCGTCATTCTCCACGTCAGAAGAGGTCCATGAGCATACAGTCAGGGTAAGGAGCAAACCATTCAAGAGGTTCCATCACATCAGGCAGCGGAGAGCACTGAGATCTTCCTAGAATGTGGACTGGTCATTATAAGCGCAGTACATCACTCAATAATCACCTATCACCAAATATCCATCTTGATCACAATCACTGTCAAAACCTCCTACTAACTTCATTTCAACTAAATCTAATAATAGGATCACTATCTTTCCCTAGTCCTAAAAGAGAGAGAGGAGGGGAAAATTAGACCGATCAAATAAGCAACAACCCATTTACAATCCAAAATTTCTTATAAATATCAGACACCAAATGACCTTAAAATATTTGGCAAGCATTTTTAATAAATACTTACAAATTAATATCAATGAAGCGAATCAAGAAGATAAATTAAGTAGAGCCAATCTTCCTAAGATAAAATAATTACAGTTGCAAATAACACAATATTGCTTATTATTGTGTTAAGGATCACTTTTAGCCTTCTTATCGCTATCATCAATTTATACAAAACCTGCTTCTTAAAGAAAAATATTACATCTAAGAAAAGAAAATATGAGATTCAGTAGATTTTAGCCCTGGAGATTAACAATGCAGTTCTGTGCTCCATCTCAAAGACAGAAATTTCAGGTTAAAGTATGCTTTAAGAATGTTGATCACCAAATTAAACATCCCTTTAAAAAGACTCTAATTTTTTATGTTAAACTCAGATAGTTACAAGAGACGTTTATAAGTCATAATAAAAAAAAATAAGAGAAACTTGTCATAAAAGCAGCAGTAGTGACTAACTGCTCAAACAGGCAATGACAGAAAGGAAGGGAGGGCTCAAATAGAAGTAAGGATTCAAAACAAACAAAATTAGCAAGTCATTAAAGCCATTTAAATCAAAACAACATTCACTTAAGAAATCTACAAGCTTATTTAAATCAATTTCAAGATCTTTTAAAACCAAATAACTTAAATAAACAAAACCAACTGAGAAAGTGAAACAAACACAAGTCAAGAACCAAAACCTACTCAAATTATACATTTTAAAACCAGGATTCTGAAAACACATTACTTCTCAATACTTGAAACTTCTCAAAGCCTTTTCATATTCTTCTATATCTTTTAGTGTTGCTACAAATAAAACACAACTTAGAGTTTATACTCATGTAACATTTTACCAAATGTGTAACATTTCATCAAATGTGTAACATTTCACCAAGTGTTTCCGGACAGAAAGCATTAAACCAGCAGAGAAGAGGAGCAAACGATAGCTGATCACCAAAAGCCTGTTTTCTGGAGGACAGAGCTGGTCTTGGCTTGGCAAGGGGGGTAAAGGAAGGATTTCGAAATACAGTCACAAGATGGGTTCTACCCCAAAACTGAATCAGGCCTTTATCATTTACATAGGCTTATGTTTTAAAATGTACTTTCAACCTTTGGACATCCAAAAGTCATACCAGATTACCTTAAAGCATTGTTGAGTGTACTAATTTTTATGGTGTTACAGATTAAATCTGTAACAGGATTCACGTTAAACCTTTTCAAAATGGACCACTGCCTCCCCCCAAAATGAAAAGCCTCCTGTTCTCTTAAGTAAAGGTTACATTATTTTTTCACTTGTTTTAAAGTTTCAGTTTTGCTTTTAATCTATTATAGAAAACATCCCTTGTGGGACGTTGTAAAGGGCAGACCCTCCTGTCAAGGCAGAAGGCTCAAACACAAAGACACTGAGCTAACCAAGTGCTGTAATTCTTCCAAACTGAGCCTCCACACCCCCCTCCACCCTTCCCCCCAACAGATATGTCTATTAAATCAGTGTCTGTTCTCCCCTTCGCACAACAAAGAGAACTTCTCACCGCATGAAATTGCCGCTGAATGGACACCAGAAAGCAGGATTTGCATAATTCCTTCCAACGAAACCCAGTCGGGAAGGAGGGGATGAGGGGGCCCAAAAGCGAATGCCTAGAATCTCCTACCTAGATTCTGCAGGGGAAGCCCCTGGCTCCCAAGAACACTGCCCACGGTGACAAGGGGGCTGGAATTTCTGGGACTCCCAGAGGACTGGGCGTGGGGGACCGAGGACGGACGAGAGGGAGAGCATTTCCCCACTCATCATCAGTCGCACGGAGGCAAAGATGGGGAAATAACAATGCTGGAGGACAGGAGAGTCAGACACAACGATGGACTGGGGCTGGGGGGCGGCGGGCGGCGCGGAGACACCACACGGGCCACTTACTTTTCGGAGGGGGGTTAAATATATGAGTTAAGCCCTTATGGTCCCGCCAGCCGCCGCACAGAGGGAAACGGGACCTTGGAAGAGAGAGAAAAAAAAAAAAAAAAAACAAGACAAAACACACAGTGTGAGAGGCGCAGCTCGGCCCTCCCCAGGGCGCCCCCGTCCACACTCCCTCTTGCCCCGCGGGGTTGGGGTGGGGGAAGCCACCCGAGAGCCGCCCCAGGAGGCCGGGGGCGGACCAGGCTCTCCGAGGCTGCGGGTGCTGCCAATTCCACCCCCTGGCGCTCGGGGTCCGCGCTCGGGCTCCGATCCCACCGTCCCTTCCTCCCAAGAGGGCACACACACCGAACACAAATACGCACACACCGACCCGTGCGTCGAGGATTAACTCCCCGGCCGCCGCCGCCGCCCCCCGCGGCCATGACACCCCACTTGGCTCGGTCAGGCGGACCCGGGGCCTGTGACAGCTCCCTCCGCCCCCATCTCCACCTCACGCCTCGCACACGCCGGAGCGCTGGACGCCCGCCCACAGCAGCCCGCGGCGCGTGCACGCGGGGACGGGGGCGCGCGGCATCGCGCGTGGGGGAGGGGCGGCGCTTGGGGGGGGGGCGGCTGCTGTTAGCAGAAGGCGGCGGGCGCGAGGGCGGAGGGCTGACCCGCGCTCCGAGGCATCCTCCCCGCCGCTCGCGCCCACCCCCGGGTGCCGCGCGAGGTGCTGCGGAACAGGCGACTACCGCCCCGAGAGAACGGCAGCGCCGTGAGCGCCGGTCTCCACAATAAACCTGCGGCGCCGCCAGGACGCCGAGCGGGGAGGAGAAGGAGGGGCTCGCGCTCCCGCCCGAGAGAGCCCGTCCCGGGGAGGGCGCGCGGGGAGGAGGGGCGGGCGCGCGCTCGGGCCGGGAGAGAAGGGAAGGAGCCCCGGGAGGTCGCGCGCCGCTCGCACTCCGGGGGGTTGGGGGAGGGGGACGCCCGAGCCGATGAGGGCGGGCGGGCCGGAGCAATTGCTTCTGTCCGGGCTCCCTCCCGCGTCGGGGGCGGCCCGCCGCGGGGCGCTCCGAGGGCCGGAGGCGGCCAGGGTAGGGTCTCACCTACACAGTGAATAAGCTTGTGGCGCCACGAATCCAGTTCCTGCCGAAAGCCGTGTCTCTCAACGGAACATTGCTGCCGCCTACACACCCTCGCCATCTTCTGCCGCCCGCCCGGCCCTGCCTCCGCCGCGGCCC